CTGACTAAGTCTAGGTAAAACACAATCGCGTCTTTGTAATGTACTCTACTACTACTCATAAGGTTGCAGAAAATCGCCTATTGTTCTATCAAGATGCTCTGCGAAACGGTTATCCAACTCCCATGATGCGGCGATTGTTACCTGGAAAAAAGGTGAGACTATCGGACTATAGGAGAACAAAATCTTGACAAAGCGTCTGCCATTATATAGTCTATTCTTACGACTGTCCAACAAATTCCGGAATTACTCAGAACTACACATGGAATTTGCATGTGCCCACTGGGATATTGTGCCACTATCGGATCAACCTTAGCACGTGACGATCCCCGTTACAGGACGTTCAATTTCGTACGAGGTTTACGGTCAATCCAGGAAGTGGAATTTTCGGATGACGATGATCACTCAGTAGAATTCGGTTTTTGGCGATTTCAGTGTGATGTAGAAGTTTGATTCAAAGAAAATTAAACTAATTCACAAGTCAACTTGGTATTAGGAAAATTTCAACTGAATCACAGTTCCATCTCCCAGTTTGGTTTCAGTTGGTACGAAATTCGAAATGTCTTGGTGTACGTATGGGCAGGCCAAGATTTGTGGCTCATCTGATTGACGGAAACTCGGGAACTGTGCCTACCTGATGAGCCCCAAGAAGTGTGAAAACAGTCGTGGATTTTCGGAGAATTTCTGCAATATTTTCAGGATCGTCCAAGTAAAAAATCAGGTGGTCTTTGTGCAGCACATTAAGTTGAACAATATCACGAACGAGAGATCCACTTGCATCTTTTGTTGAGACCTGTCTAATTTTAAAAATAGGGTACTTCGTAAGCTCAAGGTTGTTATGACGTAATAAGCATATGGTTCCCCCCGGATTTCGCCAAGTCAACCAAGTAGGGCATCCTTTTTTTCTTCTGCACTCTACTGAACAATCGTTCCAAACGTCCTTTCCACTTGTTTGATGTACTTGCATTGTAGGAATGGGTCGAACACGCAATCGGCTCTCGGGGACAAAAATTGGTCTACACACGTGCTCCAACCGTTTTCAACTTTGGACTGGTCATAGTGCTTGGATTTTGGGACTGAAGTCTCACCGATGCAAGCTGTTGTTCCCTCTATTATTTCCTCGTATCGAACCTTGCTGACTCAAATTCTCAAGAGATGAACAATGTGGTTTTCCTACCTATCGGCAGAGTCTTCTCTATCTATTTGGATGTCTGTGCTTGAACCAGCTCGCTCCTGATCACCCACTCCGTGAGCGTTACGCACAGAGAGACAGATGACGATGAATTCCACGGTCAGTCATGGGTGAACACAAAGGTGCAACCCTGACGCTTTCGCAGCTGGCGGATGGACTTTGTATGACAGCCTTGACAATGGTTGTACAGGTGGGGAAAGGTATGAGTCTTTCCGTACAAATAACATGCGAATGAGGAACTCACTGACGTTTGATTTTGATAAATGTAAGCCTAGAAGGACATCATGTCAAAACACCTTTAGGCTGCACTCTGGTCTTAAGAAATACAAGTGGTTTCGGTGGACTGAATGGGAGACACAGCTCCCAATGTGAGATACATTACCTAATCCTGGATAACTTGCGCTGAAAACAAGCTGTTGGTCATAAAGAAAACTTCGCTGAGAACTCTTCAAAAGCCCACGATCGGTTTCATTCATCATGTGGCTCAACAGGGAGACAAAGTCCCCGAGGTCAGTCATATGTTCTATTTGAGCCCAAATTCTACCATATTTGCGGAATGCACTTACCCGCACACAAGTTTGGATGATCTGTACAAAGATTAAATGTGATTTGCGCGTTACTCCGAGCAAGACATGAATCTACACATGTCGAACCATATTTAGGCGACGAAACATTAAACCAAGTGCACTGGAAATCGCAGTCCTGGATTTCGAAATATGAGCTAATTCGATGTTGAAATCAAATCAAATGACGCCTGACAACAGTTCCTGCAACTTTGTCACAAACAATGGGAAAGGTTTCCCACTCTCCCTAAAAATTCATGCAACTTTCATGCCTGATAAGAAGTTCCCAATATCGGAATGTCATGATAGGAACACCACTGTGTGCATTTGATGTCAAGAGACACGTGGGTTCATAGTGAGCCAATACAACCTCAAACTATGCGGTTCGCACTGAATTGGCTGTTGTACATTGAGACCAATGTAAGGGGGGATTCAATTATTCAGTGTGAAAAGAATAGTGTGTTCAAAGGTACAATTGATGGCTTTCCGCTACACTTTCTCAACGGTGATGCTAAGCACTAACTTCTGATATTAAGCATTCGTAGCTTGACCGAAAGTCAACACAAGGAACTAGAGTACGAGAAGCAGTGCAGCATATACTGTCATTATCGTCGTTACCCAAATGGTGAACCATCTAGTGGCTCGATTAGTTCGTAATTTGCTTTTCTTCCATGCAGACAACACCTGAACGGGGTAGGGCAAACGGGCTCAGTCTGTTGACATCGACGGAAAACTCCAACTCGTTTTAATGCGACCGTTTCTATTTCCTTGAGCTCAGAATATCCTTCAAGCAGTTGAAGAACGATTCTTACATGTTCGGTTAAAACATCCGGTGCAAGTGTAGTCTGACTGTTGTTCCCACCATGAAATTGAATATGAGACCAAAGGGCTATACAACAAACAATCGTTCAGCTGTAGTGCCCTTCCGATACCTAGCTGCCATGCCACCCGAAGGAAGCACGAGGGCTGGGATACTGCCAGGTTGCCCAAGCCTAGACAGGGGAAATCGAGAGGCAGAGGTCAGGTTCGAACCACAGACTTTCCGATGAGTAAATTCGAGCTCTAAACACGAGCTATTTCGCCCAAGGGTTGTACATAAAGCGACTGCCGAAGCATGATCTACCAGCTATCTCGCCCAAGGGTTATACATAAAGCGACTGCCGAAGCATGATCTACCCTGCAGGTGTTGCGGAAAACGCTGGTTACTCAAGCTGCATCAGTTTGTACCCCGAGCCGGATGACATAGTTGTAAACTTCCACTGGCGCATTTCTCCGCCTTCTCTTTCAGCAAAGCACTGACGATATCGCCTCGACAAGTGATGAAATGCTTGTATTCTACTTGCGAACAAAACAAAGACCGTTTCTCGATAGCCTTCGACAGTCTGACAGACCGTGTTTTCTAACGTGTCCCATCAACTGTGGAAATATTGTAGGCACAGGCGAATTTACTTCATGTCACATTGAGTACTTTAGCTAGGTGAGTAGGAGTGGACCCTCCCACACAAGTAGAAACCAATCAGTAACGTGATACCGATGAGATGAATCTATCTCATTGAATGTTGACAGGACTTGGATTATTTAGAACGTTGTCGGCGACCAATTTGAATTCGTGTTTATATGAAAGGCAGTAGATTTCATAAACGTCCAGCTGTCTATGCACTTTAAGCACTGCTTGTAACCTTCAAACAAAAGGTGATTTTCAAGTTACAGAGTGATTTGTATAACCGACCAATGTCATTTCTGGAAGGTTCTATCGTCGTTTAGTCTTCAGTTTAGTT